TTGTACAATTGGATAACTACATAAAAGGAAAGGTCCATCCTAAGATTTGGATTTAATTATAAAATTATATGTCCTAATATATATACCTATTATGTTTTTTGAATAAAATTGTGTTTGATAATTGTAACATTAAAGAGCAGCTGGTTACATAAAGTATTTTTGGGTTTAATTTTTTTATATTATTATTATTGAGGGAAAAATATGATTTTAATTATATAAATTTTGAAAATAATGGAAATACAGAATCTGAAATTGCATTATAATGATTTAAACATTATGATCAAATGTTTTTCAATAATTTTTTTTGTCACAAAGAGTTATTACCCTATAGCTATTAGAGCTTTGAAATGTTACATGTAGGTATTTTTGTACATAATTGACTTATTAAAGATTAGATATGTCACGTTATTTTTTTTTTTCTCAAAAATACTTGAAAAAAACACAACAAAAAAACAAACCAATTACCCTGCAGAGGTGACATATGTGTGCTTTTTATAATCTTGTGCGCACAAGATACTATGTTGTGGCTGCAAGTTATTAAGTTGTGCACACAAGATACTATGTTGTGGCTGCATGTCAATAAGTTGTGCGCAAATGATACTATGTTGTGGCTGCAAGTCAATAAGTTGTGCGCACAAGACACTATGTTGTGGCTGCAAGTTATTAAGTTGTGCGCACATGATACTATGTTGTGGCTGCAAGTCAATAAGTTGTGCACACATGATACTATGTTGTGGCTGCAAGTTAATAAGTTGTGCACACATGATACTATGTTGTGGCTGCAAGTCAATAAGTTGTGCACACAAGATACTATGTTGTGGCTGCAAGTCAATAAGTTGTGCTCACAAGATACTATGTTGTGGCTGCAAGTCAATAAGTTGTGCACACATGATACTATGTTGTGGCTGCAAGTCAATAAGTTGTGCTCACAAGATACTATGTTGTGGCTGCAAGTTAATAAGTTGTGCACACAAGATACTATGTTGTGGCTGCAAGTCAATAAGTTGTGCGCGCATGATACTATGTTGTTGGCTGCAAGTCAATAAGTTGTGCGCACATGATACTATGTTGTTGGCTGCAAGTCAATAAGTTGTGTGCACATTGATACTATGTTGTGGCTGCAAGTCAATAAGTGCTGCACACATGATACTATGTTGTGGCTGCAAGTCAATAAGTTCTGCGCACATGATACTATGTTGTGGCTGCAAGTCAATAAGTTATGCGCAGGGTTGTCATTAAGAGGCGGCAGGAGGCCAAAATGCCTGTCTCAAATGCATTATGGGCCGCCTCAAAATTAAGAAAACACTCTTTGTTATGCACGATAAAGACAGAAATGACCGCCTCAAGTTCAAAACAAACCTTCTGCAAAAAATGTTAATGACAACCCTGTATGCGCACATGATACTATGTTGTGGCTGCAAGTCAATAAGTTGTGCACACAAGATACTTTGTTGTGGCTGCAAGTCAATAAGTTGTGCACACAAGATACAATGTTGTGGCTGCAAGTCAATAAGTTGTGCGCACAAGATACAATGTTGTGGCTGCAAGTCAATAAGTTATGCGCACATGATACTATGTTGTGGCTGCAAGTCAATAAGTTGGCACACAAGATACTATGTTGTGGCTGCAAGTCAATAAGTTGTGCGCACATGATACTATGTTGTGGCTGCAAGTCAATAAGTTATGCGCACATGATACTATGTTGTGGCTGCAAGTCAATAAGTTGTGTGCACAAGATACTATGTTGTGGCTGCAAGTCAATAAGTTGTGCGCACATGATACTATGTTGTGGCCATGAGCAGGGGCATTACTGAACCATTTTGATATGCACTCCCTTACCTAGGGAGGTTCAGGGTAGCTCCCCCGAGAATTATTTTGAAAAAGGAAACAATTTCCTGGCATTTCGTGACTATCTAGAGGCTACATTGACAACATATTGTTGATGATTTCAAATTCTTTTTCATTCATTTTACAATATGTAAAATGAACAAAATTCATTACATATACATAATTTTTTTTTTATTTACAATCAATTTTTTAGCAAAATTTGCTCTTGTGCAACCTTCAAACTGATTTTTAGCAACAAATCTTATGTATTCTGTAAATTCAAAACTTAAAAAACAAAAGTTTCAAGACATCTGTTTTGTTGGTTTGCCGTGTCTACCATGCGCTCAGCACTTTACTACCCTAAAACTTTATAAACATTCATGGGGCCTGAACGCTCAGTCTCCATTGTACTTCTGACGTAGGTTTTAGTTCAGCTGTTGCCGTAGACATTAGCATGACCATTTAAAAGGGTTAAACAATGCCTTACGCTTTGGTACAGAGCCTTACTTGCTAAGGGAATGGTTTTCTGCAGAAAAACTGGGGCCACTGGACGGCAATTGTCAAGTTTGTGTCAGTCCATCACATATGCCACAGAATAAAATATATGAAAAACAAAATCTACAAGGAAGAATGACGTTCAATGAACTCAAGACCCAGCAACACAGGACTACCAGCAAGGAGCTAAGGACCCCAAACAAAAATAGGACAGTGCACAAGGTAAAGCACGAACTGGATAATCATTTTGATTACATATTTGAGTTTATCCACATTCAAGCTTGCATTAAAGACGACATACAATGTCTTAATGCTCTCGGAAAAGGCACTTGCATAAACTAGCAACTGTTGTTACAATTTATTAAGAATGATAATGGTGTGAAAATTGTGACTAAATTCAGTGAATATTTTGACCTCCACTCCTGTAAGTTAAATATTTCATTACATAATAATTTATCAAAAACTGTGTTATATTACACACAAAGATATTTTAAAACCTCTTTTCAGAAATTTTAGTTCATTAATTAAAATCGTTGCTTATGACATAGATTATGTAACTGGAGTTAAATATACGAGAATTGATAAAAAAATCTTGGCCCAATGTACTTCCGGTAGTCAGAGAACCCAACTAATGGCTTTATTTTTAATATAATCGCTCTCTACATCAATGCACTTTGCCCACCTGTGCTCCAACTTGTTTAACCCTTCAAAATAGAACTCTCTATTTCGGTCCTCAAAGACACCTTCATTTCTTCCAAAACGTCTACCACAACCTTGGTTTTTTGTTTCAGAAACAGGTAAAAGTCAGAGGGGGCCAAGTCCGGAGAATATGGGGGATGGGTAAGTTGTGCGCACAAGATAATTAAGTCATGCGCACAAGATTATTAGATATTGGTTGATTATCTTGTTCCCACGACTTAGTAACTCGTGGCCAGGACATAGTATCTGAAGCGCACCACTTAATTATTTCGTGCCCAAGACTTAGTAACTCGTGGCCACGACTTAGTTTCTTGTATGCACCACTTAATTATCTTGTGGCCATGAGTTACTAAGTCCTACATAGTATCTTGTAGCCACGACATGGTATCTCCTGCACATCACTTAATTATCTCATGACTACGACTATGTAACTCATGGCCACGACATAGTATCTTGTTTACCACTTAATTATCTCATGGCTATGACTTAGTAACTCGTGGCCACGACATAGTATCTCATGCGCACAAGATAAATAAAAACACACACATGTTACCTCTGTGCCACCATACTGCAGTGCAAATATCCTACAAAAGTCCTTGAACTAGTTGAAAAACAAACAAATACTCTGCAGTGCAAATGCTCTTAAAAAGTTATGGAACAAATAAGTTTTGGCATAATTATGTTTGTGTGGAATCCAGACGGTTGACTATCCTGTACACAGAACCTATGACTGTCTTGTACAATGAACCTATTACTGTCCTGTACAGGGAACCTATGACTATCCTGTACAGGGAACCTATGACTATCCTGTACAAGGAATATATGACTGTCTTGTACTAGGAGCCTTTGACTATCCTGCACAAGGAACCTATGACTGTCCTGTACTAGGAGCCTTTGACTGGCCTGTACAAGGAACCTATGACTGTCCTGTACAAGGAACCTATGACTATCCTGTACAAGGAACCTATGACTGTCCTGTACAAGGAACCTATGACTGTCCTTTACAAGGAACCTATGACTGTCCTGTACAAGGAACCCATGACTATCCTGTACAAGGAACCTGTGACTATCATGTATAGGGAACCTATGACTGTCCTGTACAAAGTACCTATGACTGTTCTGTACAAGGAGACTATGACTACCCTGTACAGGTAACTATAACTATCTTGTACAAAGTACCTATGACTGTTCTGTATAAGGAATTTATGACTGTCCTGTACAAGGAACCTATGACTACCTTGTACAAGGAACCTATGACTGTCCTGTACAAGGAACCTATGACTGCCCTGTACAAGGAATCTATGACTGCCCTGTACAAGGAACCTATGACTGCCCTGTACAAGGAACCTATGACTATCTTGTACAAGGAACCTATGACTGTCCTGTACAAGGAACCTATGACTATCTTGTACAAGGAACCTATGATTTTCTTATCGGGGAACCTATGACTTTTCTGTACTCCTATCTTTCTTTAGAGTATCTTGCGATTGAAGTGACATACTCTTAATGCTGGTTATACTCTTAAAAGCTGGTTTCGGGGACAAGTTGTTGTTTCCTTAATCAAGAAACTTTACTCCCTTGCTCAGTTCTTGTTGGTTCCAGGAACAGATTCAAGAGTATGTCTATATGCTTATAACTTCCTACACATACAAACTTAAATAAATTTAAATCACCAAGTAAATTAAGAGGAGGAGAGAACACACGTCAAACATCAAGATGGTTTGTAACTGGTTTATTCAAGGATCTACCTGTTTCGGTCTTTCTAGACCTTCATTAGGATTTTATTTTGTATAAACTAAAAAAATATCATACAAATACATGTGTGTACATGGTCTAAATCAGATCAGATATCTTAAAATGCAATGAAAATAAAGAAGCATAGTAGCTTGGTTTTTAGGATATTGTTAGTGAAATAACAAAATCAATTGGCATCACTTATAGTCTAACTACTGTTATCAAAACAATTTTCTATTTTGCAGGCACAGAATCAATTATACAAAAATACAGTCTGGATGAAAAGTTTGTTTCCAGCACAGGCCTGGGAAGACATTAAAGGTGAGATTAGGGCAAAAAACTCAACTGGTGTTAATTAATTGATGGGGTGTGTAAGTAATTGGCGTTAATCCCACAAATTAATCAGACATGATAGAGATGTTCTCCAGATTCCCCTGTCTCACAAAGTACAAAATGTCAATCATTTTTTTCCCTCCAAGTTCACATTTGTATGGAAAACATTTATTTTGGGCTGATGGCTTAAGGCATTAATTTTATTATGGTACTGGACATGCTTTACTATGTTGTACTCTTGTCTTGAGTAAACACTATCAGAAAAATCTGAAATTAGAAAAAGATATCTTTCCTTCTTTTCTTTCCGAAGAAGGGGGGTGGGGTGTAAGAGGTGGAAAGTAAGTTTTTATGTAACCTGCCTTACGGATGATTATTAGTTTTAAATGATGTAATTTTGTATACACAAAAATCTTTGGTACAACACAGGTCCCAGTTTTTTGCTTGTTTATTGCTTCCATTGAAAATGGATGGATGGAACTAATCGTGTTCCTCTAATTGTAAATGTATGAAATTGTAATTATGACTTTTAAGCTTCTTTTAAAATAATCATCAGTTTTCATTATACAATTATTGACTAGTGAGCCATTGAATATGATGTGATATTCACCGGCAGATGACATATTGACCGAGGCGATAGCCGAGGTCAATATGACTTTCTGCCTGTGAATATCACATCATATTCAATGGCTCACTAGTCAATAATTGTTTTATTATATGAATAGGCTAAGAATTAAAAAAAAATCACGAAAAAGTACAACCTTATATACATGTACAAATTTTGCCTTGTTGAAGCGCGGGAAAAAAGACGCACGTGCGAGGCGTGCAACGACTACACAAAAGTAATTCAAGTTTATACTCATCAATGCGGTTTAGCCTTTAAGTATAACAGTAAAGTAATGATATTTCAATAGAGAAATATGCCATAAAGAACAAAACGCAACAATTATTTTTTAATTAACACACGTAATTAACAGTCTACGGTGTATGGTCATTGAATATGAGTCTCAATCTATTTTTAGACTTGGAAAATCCAATTCAGCCAGTGAATATGATACTACACCCAGTGAATATGATTTTATAAAAAGTTCTATTGACTACAGTTTGGACCAATGAGATTGCAGCTATTTTTAGATCATATAATAAAAAAGATTATCAGTATTATCATCAGTATCATCAATAGTTATATTGGATGAAAATATGGAGGTGGGAAATGTGAATGGAGTCATTTTATCTTTTGATTAATTTTCATTTTCAGACCATTATAAAAATATGACCGTTGCAATAGTTAACAGCAGTTAATGTCACAATAAGTTGGCGATTTTATGCTAAATTATAATATAAAATCTAAATTTTAATATTTCTTGTGAGAAAAAAATCAAAATTTTAATGTAACAAATTAGAACTTAATATTTGCTACTTTGCCCTTTATTAATATTCACCTGTTTTAATGGGATATTTTATGTTGAATTATAATAATTCTGTCACATTTTCTAATTTCACATTAATTAAACAGATGAAACAAAAGATTAAAAAAAAAACACATTATATATGAGACTTCAGGTACTTTTTCAGGAGTCGACTTTATTATTAATTCTATAATTTAAATTTTATCACCCGGCACCCACAGACACCCTTCCTTTATTAGAGAAATTTTTTTTTTGAAAAGGGAAGCATATTTACATGGACATGAAAGGTTTATGATAATCTGGAGGGGATTGGTGAGGACCCTATACATGTACAATATTTCAATCATTTCTCAAAATTTAATCTCTAAATCTTGCATAGAGACCGGGTATAAATTTATTGAAAGTGAAAATTTCAGTAAAATTGGACAATTTTAAGTGTGTCTTATCAAAATGTGCATAATATTTTGTGACAAATCTACCACTTTACCTTGGTTGTTATGGCGACGGAATTTAAGGGGAATGCTTGTTCAAATAGTGCGATACTTGTCAATGGGTTTTCAAGTGTTTTGTTCAAATTTTAGAAAATTGAAAACTTTAAAGTAGAAAATTTATCTGCAAGAACAATTTTATTACGTCTGTTTCAATTTTATGTACAGTACAAAATTTAAATGTTTGTTCCTCGATGGTAAACATTTTACATGTTTTTGCACCTCATTTCCTTTATTGTATGACATTTTGATATTAATTGATGAAAATTTACTGAAATTGTCTTGTTTACCTGTAAGAAAATATTTCTATGGTAATTTCGACAAAAATAAAAACGGAGCATTATTCAATAAACACAATTGTAAAGCATATTTTATTGCACGTATGTGACCTTCTTTTCAAACCAGGCCGTTAGATCTTACACCGCTAGCTTCAGCTTTCAAGTATCATTTTCTATAATTTAACACAATTATATAATTTTGTAAAGGGATGATTAGGTAATGGCTATTTATGAAACACAATAGTCAACATTTCAGATCTCAGACATTTTTAATCAACAGGATATTCTCACTTCAAAAATTGATATTAACGAGAGTATTAAATACAAATTAAAACGCAATTATAGTGCAAAGCATCATGGGTAAAAACGACAACAATTATTCAAGTCATGAATAAAAATATAACAATTTTCTATAGGGACAAAATTGCAGAGTCATTTTAACATTTTAAGAAAGGTTCATGTGGCTAGCAACAAAAACATAATTGAGCCGCGCTATGACAAAACCAACATAATGGGTTTGCGACCAGCATGGATCCAGACCAGCCTGCGCATCCGTGCAGACTGATCAGGATCCATGCGGTTCACTATCAGTTTCTCTACTTGTTATAGGGTTTGTAAGCAAACAGCATGGATCCTGATCAGACTGCGTGGATGCGCAGGCTGGTCTGGATCCATGCTGGTGGCAAACCCATTATGTTGGTTTTGTCATGGCGTGGCTCATATTATAATCTGTTTTCAAAACAAATAAGCTGGCCATGTTGGTATTTTATGGATAACAGATATAGTAAAAAAACGAACAGAGGCATGCAGAATCCATTAAAGTCTTACGCACTGTTTTGATTTGCTTAACTTAGCATAGAACTAATGAAGTTATTCAATCGTGGGCACGTAGAAAAAACAGAGAAGTAAGATGTTGAAAACTTTATCCAAACTTTAGTGCTGCGTAAAAAAACACATGAAACAAATCAGGCCCCAAGTTTTATGATGAAAGTTTCATTTTTTTTTTTCATCTCTTAATTAGCCGTGAATTGATTTAACAGACATTTAATGATAATAAATGCGGGTAAGTCCATGTGAAATGTAATTTTTAACTTAGAATATCATAAAGAAAAGTTTTTCTTCTAGCTGATATATTTAGTTATATTTTATCCGGTAAAAGAAGTAATTTTTAGGAGAGTGAATTATTTTATATAACTATACACCCTACAAAAAATGAGAAGTTCCAAACTTGATAATGTCTCCTTTTTCATGTGTTTAACTAACTAAGCTTCATTGAATTCTGGTCCAAGGTGATATTATATTTATATCAATATCTCCTAAAAGTGTATGATAAAATTTATTTATTAGCTCACCAGAGCACAGAGTGCTCGAAGACAGATTGCCCGGAGGTGTGGTTTTATGGGGATGTTGTCCATAACCCATCATAATCCACTATTAATTTTCTTTAAGCAACATTATTCTCCTCCGAAACAACAGGGTAGATTTTGACCAAACTTTACAGAAATTATTCTTAGAAGCCATATATGGTTCTATACTGCATGATAAGGACGGTTTCAGAAGCTAAAAATAAACTTAGAAATGAAATTATCAAAAAATTTTCTTCAGAAACTAGAAGCACCAGAGCTTAGATATTTAACATGTAGCATCACCTTGTAGGATTTTTATGTAAATCATGCCCCTTTAGTCAAAACAGCCCTGCCTTTTGGGTTATATAATTTTATAAGGGGAACACATATAAGTCTTCATGTGGCACATTTCAATGACCAGAGCAAATATAAAAAAAATTGTTACCCGGAATTCGGCAAATGTGGGGTTTTCCCATCTAATACCAGGGTACAAACAAACTTATCATTAAAGCTTCACTTCATGGTGCACATCCATGGTCGAAGATGTTGCATTTATTTTAGATATATTTACCAAGTTTAACTGGAAAAGTTTGTTTGTACCCCAGGATAAGATAGGGATAACACACATTTTCCAAGTTTGGCAGTTTCTCTATTTGGCATGTAGTATTGCCTAGTAATTCTCAACAATGGTTATATAGTGCATGCTCCATATATCAAAAATTGGTTATTTAATCTACATAGACTTATGTAGAAAAATGAACTTTAAAAATCTTCTCAGAACCTACTTTGATTGCATATTAGATATTTAGCATTACCATGTGGTACCTTGTAAATCATGTCCCAGAGATCGAAATTGCTACCTTATGACCTACAAATCTGCATTGAAGAATTACAAACTTTTTTAGCATTGGATCTCAGGCTAGCGATCTAGGGTCATCATTGTATTTTGAATGGTTCTGCCCATTGTCAAGTTTACTGGAAATAAGACAAAGGTTTGTAGAAGTTCTTTGTAAAACCGGGTTATTTATCAATGGAAGAGATAAATGGACATTTTGGCAACAGTCACTTTTGACATAAGAAAAATTGAAAAAAGAAATCATGCAGGAATTTTAAGTTGCTCAAATAGAAAAAAAAGGTTAAAAAAAGTTATGCAGGAGTTTATTTCTCTGGTGCCGATCGTAAGTACTGTACAAGGTCACCTATTGTTTATATTGATACTTATGCACTCTTAAGTTTATTTTTAACAGTAAGGGGTTTTTAGAGCAAACAAACTCCCACAAAAAACGGCAAACTTTGATTAATTTATGTATTTTTTGGTCTTAATTAAAGCATAGACAGTGAGCAGAACACGCTTCTTGTTAATAATTGCCAGTGCAGTGTTCCTCTGTTACAGCGATAATTAAAACCAGGCTTTACTAGGAGGAGCTAATGGCAGTTAAATTGCCGTAAGAAATCCCACTTTATTGCTTA